TGACTTTTGTTGGTACCAGACAGTAATTTTTCTGTTTATTCTTTTAACATGATTTTTAAATTATAGTAAAAGATAAATAGCATAGAATTGTTTACCATTTAAACCAGTTTAAAGGGTACGATTCAGTGGCATTAAGGACACACACAACGTCGTGGCCACCATCCATCTCCAGAACTTTCCATCCTCCCCGACTGCAACTCCATTCCCATTGAAGACTCACTGTCCTCCCCAACCCTCCCTGGTAACCCCTGTTCTGCTTTCTGCTGCTAGGAATTTGCCTACTCGAAGCACTTTGTGTAGGTGAGATCATACAGTATTTTGTGTCTGGCTTATTTCAGATAACACCATGCTTTTAAGGTTCCATTCAGTATTTTTGAAACCTAGGTGTTTTACATGAAACTCTGGATTTCCAGTTTGTCCTAAGGACTTGCCGCACCTGGCTGCACCGAGCCCCTGTTCCCACAGGCCTACCATGGGAGGAGCGGTGATGTGACTGCCCAGAAGTGGGTGCTGTGAGGGCGGCCTTGGGCCACGTGCAGGGGGGGCTTCTTGAGCACTTGTCCACCCTGTGACCTTGTGTCTGTGCCCATTGTCTTCCCCAAATAATTGTTTTTTATTCCAGGAGAAACGCGTGACCTCATTCACCTGTCAAAGGAAGAAAGTCAGGACACTGGAGGCTTGTCTAAAGCCCCCTTGGTCTTTTACAGTGGTGGGTGAGCCTCCCCATTCGATACTGGCAGACTTCAAAATCAAGGTTAATCTGGCAGAAAGCCACACAGCTTTGGTTACTAATATCGGCCATTTATTGAGCGCCTACTGTATGCTGCGCATGGTGTTATGTAGATGTCATAATCCCATTTCATGGATGAATAAACTGAGGTGCAGAGAAGCTAAAAATCTCGCCCAACGTCAAACAGGTGGTAAGGGGCATAACTGGAAATGAAACCCAGGCTGGCGTTCTCCAGGGCCCACGCTCTTGCTTCTTAGCCAGTAAACTTCTCTCTGCCGCACACCGGGAGGTTGTGGAGGACAAAGCCACCCCAGGTGGGAGCACTCCAGGACCCACCGCTTGGAGTGCTCCGGGCTGAGTGCAGGTGCCCCTGGCAGGAGGAAAGACACTGTCGGCAACTCAGCAAGGACACTCTTTTCTCACTCTGTCTGCACGCCTTTGAGAAGAGACGACAAATGTGGAAGCTGAGGCTCCCAGAGCAGAAGGAACTGGCCTGAGGTCAGGCCCTTGGGTGGGTGTGGGTCAAGGTTGAGACACTGATCTCTGGACTTCCATGTCCCTGTGCACGCCTCTTAGTCAGGGGACTCCAGAAACTGGGGCTCAGGCTCTGGGACGGGCCATTCAAAGCATCTGCCTGTTCCTGCTCTCTGCTCTCTGCTCTCTCAGGAGTCAAAAAGCCTGTGGGAAACTGTCTTGAGTGAAAGAAGGTGATATTGCACTGAAAATCCAGGTGCATCTTGTTCCAGCCCGTTGGATGTGGGTGCTCCCACAGGACACGGGGACCCTCTCTCCCCAGGTCTTGGCCCTGCTGTCCTTGGTCAGTGTCACACTCAGGAGAGTTTTCTCCCTCTATAGCTTCCAGCAGCCTAGTGACCCCCCCCCCCCACACACACACACAGCATCCATTGCTCCAGAGTGCTAGCAAATGCCTTAGAGTTCACTCTGATTGGCCGGGATTGGGTCAAGGACCTGTCTTTGGGGAGGGGCAGAGTCAGCCCCACAGAGCCACACTGAGTGAGTGGTTGGGGGAAGACAATGGGCACAGACACAAGGTCACAGGGTGGACAAGTGCTCAAGAAGCGCCCCCTGCACAGGGCCCTCATTCCACGTTCTGCACTCTGGGATGAGGGCCCTGTGACCAGAATATGTATGTAGTAACTTGACTTGTTCGTGAGAATGGCACGAGTGGTTTCTTCACAGTTTTCAAATACTAGAAGAACATTTCCTCAAATTTTTGTGCTTTTTATAATGTAACGGTTACACATTTCAGGTTTGATCTGCATTATCCACATTTACTGCCCCGTGGTCTGAAGTCTAGACCATTGGCAAACAAGAAGCCAGGCCCTGATCCCATTCGGAGGGTGTAGATGCTGCGCCATCACACGCTACCAGGGCCGTGTGCCTCGGTGCAGAGTTGGGAGTGGATGCACCGCAATGCCCCGTCCGTCACACGGCATGTTCATCGGCACATTGGTGGTTCGGTGGCAGAATTCTCATCATTTTTCTCAATTGCGTTATTTTTTCTAAATGTCCCCTATGTTATCATTTATAGTAAATAGATGCACTCGTGTGTGTAAATGCACAATTTACTTACTCTGCTCGGGGCTTGTCACCAGCCCAGCACCGGGGAGGAGCCCAGGCTGGAATCAGTGAAGCCCCATCACACAGTCCCTTGCTCCTCAACCCTCTGTGGCTCCATGTTATAGGGAGCTGACCAAGGCTCTCTTTCCATCCCCAAGCCTTTTTTCACACTCTTCCTCCGTAGGGGCGGGGATGGGCGGGCGGGGAGGGGAGTCCAGGAGCCAAGGGCCTGGTGCACCTGTGCACTCAGGGCAGTTTCCCTGTAGAGGAGCTGGGCTGTGGGGATTTCGCCTCAACTCTTCACCACCCCGTCTCAGCCCCGTCCCTGGAGCACACAGCGCCCCACGCCCTGTGACCTCGGGGCTGTGAGGAACCTCACCCGACTGAGGCACCAACTCGGAATCCCTGCCAGGAAAGTGAGTTTCCCAGGCCTGAGAGGAGCATATCCTCAGGGGCCGGCAGGAAACACTTGGTACCCAAACAAAACACCACTCACTTAGGGGCGGGTCTCGCAGGCCCAGGCAAGAAGGGATGTGGCCGAGGACAGGACGGGAAATGCAGGCCCTGTCCGGTTCTGCCCGCAGAGCCTCAGGCCCTGGAGGTGGGCCTGCGATGATGCAGAGGAAGCCCCTTGTCCCACCAGCATCTTCTCCAGACTCCCTGGTTACAGGCAGTGAGATTAAGCTAAAGGTCAAGGGTAAAGTTGGGGGACTTTGGGACCAGGTGTGGGAAGGGGGCAGGAGCAAGGAAATGCCATAGGGTTGAGTTGCGAGGTCCACAGGCCTGGACTCGGGGCTTAGAGGGAGGAGGGGGGAGGGTTTCCTTCTCGTCAGATTGAATCACACATGTTCCCGAGGCTTCCACACCTCTGTCTGAGCTCCTCTCGCCCGCAGCCTGTGCCAGAGTCGGTGTGCAGCGGGGCTGTCCTGAAGGCAGGCACGTTCAGAGCTGCATGTAGCAGTGAAAACTAAACGCTTCCTGACTTCAACAGGGACTTGAAATAAGACCTCCTCCAACAAAGGGCTTGGATCTTATTCATCTGTTATCTTCCCTCTCCGTGCCCAGCACAATGACTTGCATACAGTAGGGGTCCAATAAATGCTCCTTGAATCAATTTAGAGCACTTAACGATCTCCTACTGATTGTCAGGCACCCTGCCTAGCCTAGAGAGAAGTAGCCCTTAGAAGCACCTCTTAGACACGCCCAACCTCACAACAACCCTACGGAGGGGGCACTAATGTTGTGCCCCTTCCCAGATGGGCCATGCGAGGCCCAGGCAGGCCACGGAACTTGCCTAAGTTGTGGGGCTATGGTTCCTGCCAGAGGAAGGAACCATATGTTCTGGCTGCAGAGGTGACACATTTTTCCCAATTACACCAGGTGTTAACTTCTGGGGTTTGACAAGGCATTCTGATGCACGTCAAATTAGAAAAGCATGATTATAAATGAATGTCTCCAACAGACATCCATAACCGTTACGCCCCGCCCACCCTTGGGGAGACAGGGCCCAGGGGCAGAGTGAAGATGCTCCTGTGTTTCTCAGGAGCAGCGGCTTTGTGTCCAGGTCTGGAGAGGTTTGACAGCTGTGGTTCCCCAGGATGAGGGTGGAGTTGTAAAAGGGCAGCAACCTGGATGCTCAGTGGCCAAACCACATCACACACCTGCTCCAGCCCCTCGAGGCCTCAGCAGCAAAAGGCAGCTGGGTCACCAGCCCACCCGCTCCACCTACTTCACCGTGGTTTTCATAGTGTGAGCCCCCCCGCCAGGAGGCTTGGGCCATCCTCTCCGCCTGGATTGCTCTCTGTGGAAGCCACTTGTCACGTCCTGCATGGCAAGGCCTGCCTGCCCCAGACAGAAGGGAACCGGGTCCCTCCACGTTCCCCCGGCCACCAGTGCAGACAGCCACATGTGAAAGGTTTTGGCTGCAAATACCAATTGGGGCAGAAATACTTCCCAGCAGAAGCTCATTGCATTTTACTAACTGATTCCATGGGACTGTGTCAGCGGGTTGCAGCTCATCTTAGACCTAAGGAGGGAAAGTGGGGTGGTGGCCTGGCACCCTCTTCTCCTCGCCGAGTGACTCAGCTGCATACCCAGGTTAGGAAGTCATTCGGATGAATGAAGCACGTGGCCTCCGCCCCGCTCTGCAGTGTACTTGAACCACACCCCTCACACACCGGCCCAGATATGCTCCCTTCTATTCCCTGTACACATCAAGCTCTTTCCGGCAGCAGGGCCTTTGCTCACGCCGTCCCAGAGGGAATGCCACTCTCGGACCTCAGTGCCAAGGTCTCTCCACACAGGCTCACCCCCACGGCATCCTCCGTCTTAGCCTTTCTGTTGCTCCTGTGCAGTGATTGTCTCTCCCCAGCAGCCTGTGAGCTTCACGACACCTCACCACTGAGAGCCCATTACTGGGGTATTCAGCAGGTGCAGCATAGATGGGGCACCAATGAATACACACAGTGACACAGATACACAGAGAGAGCAGGAACCTGTTAATTCTAGAAGATGGTGGAGAAAATGCTCACGAGGGGGGAGCCAAGGGCAGGCCAGACAACAGGAAGTGTTTCACCCGCCCCCACTTACTGTGCCGGCCCCTCCACCGGTCTCCATTCGGCTCCCTTACAGCCCAAGGGGAACCAAGTCCCATATTCCCAGAACACCATCGGGAACATGGAGCCAGAAGTGTACAGATAAGTTTATTATCATTTGGGTATTTCATACAGAAGGAACATAGCAATCGGTTCAGGGGTTATGAAAAAAATCACAAAATCCAGGTTTGCACGCGTTGCTCTGTTTACATCGGGGAGCAGGCTCCCCCCCATCACGCACAGCAGCTGCACTTGTCCGATGCTCCTTTGCAGACGCAGCCCTGGGCGCACTTGGCGCAGCCCATGGGGCAGCAGGCGCAGCAGCCTGGGGACAGCAGGGGAATGAGAGGTCAGAGATGACTTCACCAGGCACCTCCCTGCCCAGCAGCAGGCCTGGCGTAGGCTCCTCCAACCCCAGACACCCCGGGGTTTGAGATGGCATGTGCTGTCCCGGGGCTACTGGTGGCACCTTTGGAAAAGGCCCCACCCCCTAGGAGAAGGGGGCCCTGCCAACTGGAGTCCAGGCAGGGCAGGAAGTCTGGAGAGGCAGCGCCAGGGCCTCCGGGGGAATGGAAGTCAGCCCCCAGCCTCCTGTGGGGGAGGCCCTCAAGATCAGGGGTGGGGCAAAGCCCTGCCACATCAATGTGGGGGGGTTGGTCAGGGGAGCTGTAGGCTGGCTCCACAGGAAAGGGCTACACCAGCAGGTCAGAAAAGCCAAGTTCAAGTGCTTCAAGTGCTCAGGATAGATACTAAGGGGTCAGAAGGCCACCCTGGGAAACAGGTTCTAGTTCTGGCTCTTCCTCCACACTATGTGGTGACTTCTCTGGACCTTAGTGTCCTGTTCTAGGATGAGAGGTTAGACTCAGTCACCTCTAGGGCTCTCTCAGCTGATTCTGATTCAGTTGCTGAGGGAAGCCAGGCAGATCGGGGAACAGTGGGGCAGTGGGGCAGGGTGGGGGGGGGGGCGGTAGAGACGTTGGGATGTTGGTCTGCTGGAGCCTGCTGAGCTAGGGGCTCCCTCCTCGGACATAGCCCAGCCCCCAGGTTCCCAGAGAGGGCCCCTCACTCACTCCTCTTGCAGGAGGTGCATTTGCAGTCTTTGCATTTGCAGGAGGCGGTGCAGGTGCAGGAGCCGCCTGCGGGGAGGAGAAAGCGGGGCAGTGAAATGTGTGATGCAGGAGAGACAGCAGACGGTCGCCAGTCGCTCCCTGCACTTCCCCCCTCCCCGCACACCCCTGTGAGGACCCCACACTGGGAGCTCCTGCCCCACTCAGGGCATATAAAAACAAGCCCCTCTTTCTCTCTCTCAGTACCAGGAAGGGTACTAGACCCTCTCTAAATTTTACCCCAAAGGGAGATCTAGGTTCCAGGCACAGCCTGGTGGACTGGGCCTGGGGCCAGGGTCGAAGGTCCTGAACTGGCAACAGGCCATGTCCCACCTCCCACCAAGTCCTGGCAGCTGCCGGGCCTGGGCAGAGCACTGGGTCCCAGCGCAGCAGCCTCTACCGGCTGGAGAACCTGGAGGACTGCAACCTGAAGCCTCAGTACTCTCAACTCCAAAACAGAGGCAGAGGGAAACGGGAAATGCTCTCAGCGGCTTGGCTAGGAAGGACGCACTAACCAACTACAGGAGTCCCCTACGGCCATAATTGAAATACTCCCTGCTCCACCCAAGGACACTGGTCCTAGGCCTGGAAAAGGAGCAACTTAAGGCCAGAGCTTGGGACGGGGGGGCGATTCTTACCAGTGGAGCAGGAGCAGTTGGGGTCCATTTCGATCAGAGTTGAGGCAGGGGGTCCAAAGCAAGAGCAGAAAATGCAATGGTGCTCGTCCACAGCGTGGTGGCGCCTAGCAGCCCGCCGCCTCGATTTATAGCCGGAGGAGGCGGCCCGGGCGCAGAGGCCCCGCCCTGGCCTTTGCACCCGGCCGGCCGAACGGAATCCGTGCCGCCCGCAGCGTCCTGGGCTGCGCTGAGCGCACTTGGGCTGGCCGGGCGCACTGTTCCTCCGCAGCCTTCGGCCCCCGGTCACGTGCAAGGGCCTGTGTGGCACACCGTGTTCCAGCTCCCGGCCCTTCCCAATTTTCTGCGTGGGGCAGCTGCCCCCGTTCCCAGCTGTTCCGGGAACTCAACCCCTGAGTCCCAGACGTCTTCCCCACCTCTTGCCCGCTAGTCCCCGTCCTCGGGTTCACCTCTCCCCGTGGAGCCCTGTGCAAACCCAGTCTTGGGCTCACATCCCTGACTTGGCTGGAGCCCCAGGAGTTGTGTACAGGCACCTGTGGTGAACGTGACCTTCATCCTGTCACTCCCTCATTCTCCCTCATCCTCCCCAGCTCCACACTGATGTCTGTTCTTGCCTGTTTCTTATTTACAGCAACAGGGACAAGAGGGGCCCCTTTCTCCTTCCTCCCATTCTCCAGGACCAAAGAGGTGAATGGGAAGATCACCTCGGTCCTCCTTTGCCTAAACTTTCCAGGGCCTTTCTTCAGCCTAGAGGGCTGCCCCACTCCAGGATGGAGGTTCTCAAAGCCGGGGGTCTCCCCCGCCCCAGGGAAGGGGCCGTTTTAGGCACTAGACTCACCTGCTTAAACAACACAGAAAAGTTCTTTCCCTTTCAGTGGTCATGATGACGGTTACATGTCATTTAATCCACAGCAGGCTTGGTTAATCACTTTTGCTCTTTAAACCCCAACGACAACTGTGGAGGGGACCCTAAAATGACACACAGCACAGGGAGTTCCCAAGGGACCCACAGTCACGGTGCTGGGAAGTAAACCTGGGTCCGATCCCCGTCACTTCCCTAAGGAAGCAGAAAGAGCCTTCCCTTTGGCCAGAGGTTCTTCACCACCTCTCTGATGTCCAGCTGAATCCTGGGAGTGACAAAGTGACACCTAATAAGGGATCTATATGTATATATGACTCTGTGGCTACCTTCTATGTTGTGAACCCATTCTCATTTTCAGTAGCGGTAAGGAGCTTGCATTTCAGATTCACGGAAATATGGATGGTTTAAAATTGTTAAGTAAACAGCTGGTGCAGGCGGCAGCAGAAATGGTGACTCGTTCAGTGTCTGAACGAGTGTCTTGCTCAAGCTTTACATCCCCCCGTGCTGATTCCCCTTTGTGGGAGGGAGCCCTACCTCCTCCGGACCCTCAGCCCCGTGCTCGAGTGACAGATGAAACGACCCAGGACGCAGAGCTGGCAGGCCAGCCCAGGTGTGCTTGTCCGCACGCAGAAAAATGTCTCCCGTGCGGTGAGTGATAGACATAAAGTGATAGCTAATATTAGAGGCTGCTCACAGTGTGCCAGGTTTCGTTCATAGTTCTTTGCAGGTATTAAATCAGTCAAGCCCAAGAGCCAGGTGCTTATTCGGTCCCCTTTGCATGGTGCAGGAGACTGAGCCACAGGCGGGTCATGACACCCAGCTACCAGTGCCACGGGTAGGGTTGGGGCTGGCGCTCACGCTGGCCATTTGCAGCATCATGCCCTCACCTGTCACCCGGTGCCATGACATCACCTGAAGGGGAAGGACACGGCACACCGGTCCAGAGCTGGTGGGAAGAGCAGTGAGGAGCAGTCCCATCCCCATGCGTAGCCCGTGACTTCTCTGAGCTCCGATTTGCTGTCTGTCTCTCAAGCCAAGAGTACAACAGGATGCTATCAAAGGACCGTTCCAGCCCCGAATAACCAGAGGCAGGACTCAATACCCAGAGGCATCTGGTCAGCCACCTGTGTGTGTGGGTGGGGTGGGGGGCCGAGTTGGCTGTAGGATTCGTTCCAACCTCTGACGACGGGCTGTGTGACCTCGGGCAGGTTGCTTAACCTCCTGGAAGGTGCCACGATGATTCCGGGCCTTGGGCCTTTACTTTCTCACTGGTTCCAGGGCAGAGCAAATGGCAGGAGTGGTGGGAAGGGGTCTGTGTCTGTTCAAATGCTGAGGCCACGTCCCGTCCCAGGGGGCTTATCGCAGGTCATCCCCACTCCCCACGGCACTGGGTCAGCAAGGTTCCAGCGCCACCGACCGCCTCCAACCCAGAGTAATGTGTCAGAATCAGTGAGCTCTCTTTCTCCAGGAGCACACAGGGGTTGGAAGGATTCAGGATTCCCTCCACACGAATGTCAGTGTGGACAGCGACCCTAAAGGCCACTGTTCATTACACGCTTTCCTGGAGCCTGGACGCTACCATTTGTTCCTTACTTAGTGACATCATTCTTTTCTGCAAAGGGGGAAAGGCCTTCTCCTAGCCACTAGGCCAGGAAGTGGCGTGGTGGTGTGTGAACCAGAAGGCCTGACGCCAGAGCCCACGCTCTCAGCAGGGGCTGGCTGCTAAACCCTCTTCATACGGTGCACCTGCAGGCAAGCAGGGGCCTGAATCTGGTCCGCGTGACTTGTCTTTCTCTTTGATTTTACATCAAATAGCAGCTCCCTCCACAACCAGCCCGGGGGGACAAACCGTCGTCAGTAATTACAAGTCACGCAGAGCCTGTCTAATGAACACCACCACGCCCTTTGAGCTGCAGGACCCCCCATCGCCCCGCATGGGCAGACAGACACAAAGCCCCTCATCCGGAGCCAGTTCTCAAGCACACACCCACTTGCCGAGAATGGGCCAGGCAATTCCCCTAAAGCCCTAATCCCTTTGCTGGTGCCAAGTAGCTAAGGGCTGGATTTGGGAGGGGCAGGTATCTGTCTGCCTGGCTCAGATGCTACGCCAGCCCACAACTAGGAGCTCTCGGGGTGCGGGGGTGGGGCAGATGTCCTTTTGGAGACCCTAGGCGAGCCACGAGTGATGGCTGCCCGTGGGGATATCAGGGTGGGGTGTGCATTGCTCTGCAAGGCTGTGTGTGCCACACACTGGGGCGTCTGTGACCTTTTTCAAGTGCCCGGTGCACGCTGCCGGTGAACATGTGTACGCTGTTTATAAACACCTAATTTTCTTATCGGTTCTCCATACATTTATTGCGGCTGTGCGTGTTGAGTCTCAGAATGGGTTTGTATATTATCCTTTCAAATTTTCCTTAGTGATTCATTTCATTTGACAAAACTTGATATCCATGAATGTTAGGAACGAAATAATGGCACTCAACCCCAGCGTTTTAGAAACAAGCCCTCATAGCTGGTGGCCCAAGGCTGTGCCAATGACAGAAGATGGAGGGCGGGCAACCCCTCAGGGCTGGATGTTTTTCATGACTTTGGTGAAGTCACCTGCTTGTCTTAAGACACTCCGTTTGTTGGGGACTCATACTTCCACGCAGAACTCAGCTCTCTGCACTTCTGGTCCAGTCTCCAACCCAGCTCCGGTGGACAAAAATTTCTCATTTCCAATGCACAGAAAAAGAACCAGAGTCAGAGTAAAGTCAACAACTTGTATTATTTCTGCACATATTTCATAGAAAAGAGAAAGTGGCAAACGGGCTGGGGGGAATGAAAAAAGATGCAGGTTTGTAGATATTGCTCTGTTTACATTGGAGAGCAGGCTCCCCCCCATCACGCACAGCAGCTGCACTTGTCCATTGCTCCTTTGCAGACGCAGCCCTGGGCACACCTGGCACAGCCCATGGGGCGGCAGGTGCAGCAGCCTGGGGGCAGTGGGGGAAATGAGAGGTCAGAGGTCACCAGGCACTTCTCTGCCCAGCAGCAGGCCTGGCACAAGCCCTGGGCCCTGGAGGGCCCACAGTACGTGTACTCTGTTTGGGGTTTGGGTTTCACCAAGAGGACGTTGTCCTGTCCCATCTGAGCTCAGGACAGGGCACAGAGCCTGCAGAGGCAGTGACGGGGTCCCAGGAGCAAAGGAAGACCAGTTCCCCCAGAACCGTCCACTCATAACCAGCTCTGGACTCCCTCTCTTGCCTCAGCCCTGCCTTCAGGTTCCTAGAGAAGTCCCCCAACTCACTCCTCTCAAAGGAGGCGCATTTGCAGTCCTTGCCTGTGCAGGAGCCGGGGCAGGTGCAGGGCTGCAAGGAGGAGAAAGCCGGGCAGTGAGATGTGTGGTGCGAGAGAGGCAGCAGCGATCAACAGTCCGCCCTGCACTTCCCCTTCAGGACCAGCCCTGGGAGCTCCTGCCCCACACAGGACAGGTGCAGCCTCCCCCCCCCTCCCGCTCCTGCACCCCTGTGCCGGAGAGCGTGGTGTGCTCCCTTGTATTCACCCTGTAGGCATGGTCCCAGCTCCAGACCCAGTTCAGTTAAGCTGGGTCTGAGGGTCACGACCTTTGTCCTGGGTGCAGAAGACACACTGCCCCTGCCTCCAAGATAGCACAGACAACTTAGGGTCCCGGGTCCAGCAGCCCCCAGACCACCCGGTGATGAGTAACAGGACAGTCTTGAGCCTCAGGAGGCTGGAAATACCCTAATGATGGGAGGCAGGTGAGGGAGGGGAATGCCCTTGGCCAGGGAGAGAGCACAGAGCCTGCTCTCTCTGCAGGAGTCCACGTTCTCTCGAGTTCGAAATACTCCCTCCCCTCAACCCAGGGACATGGTCGTGGGGCTGGGAAAATGGTGTCCTAAGTGCCAGAGCCTGGGGTTCTTACCACCTGGGCAGGAGCAGTTGGGGTCCACTTTCATCAGAGGATCCAAAGATGGAGGGGAAGAATCACCTGCGCTAGTTCAGCGCGTGGTGGCGCCCTGGAGCCCGCGTGCTCACTTGATACCCAGAAGTGGGGCCGGGCGCAGAGGCCTCTCCCCGGCCCTGGCTCCCGGCCCGGAGGAATCCGCGCCGCTCGCAGTGCCCTTGGCTGGGCCGGGCGCATCTGGCGGGGGCCGGGCGCATCGTTCCCCTAGTCCTGCTGGGCTACGTGCGCACCATGCGGGCCGCACCCCTAACGCCTGATAAACGCGAAGGGCTTGTACACCGTGTGTTACTGAAACCCAGTCCCTGCGACCTTTGACATCTCTACCCCCAGTCCCGGGGCCTGTCCTCTGCTTTGCTCCTTCCAGGAGCCTGCGTGTAACTCCCCCTTCCCATCCCCGCACTCCTGTCCTTGACTTGGCAGGAAGGGCAGAGAAACCGGAGGGCGCTGTGTGGCAGTGGACCTCCACCTCCCGCCGGCATCTTCTCCCTGTCCCCCAACCCGGGGCCTTCAACCCCCTTGCTTCCGCGCACCGCACCTCGGCGGGTGACACTGGCCTCTGCTCTTTCCACCCTTCCAAGCCGTCTCCACCTGCGGGGATCCGGGGGCGCGTGTGTCGACATCCTTGGCAGGAAACGCTAGTGCTCCCCACAGTTTGTTGGTACACCCCACTCCTGGAGGTTCCTACAGCAGCGGCTGCCCCCGAAGAGGGACCACTTGAGGAGATACGAAGACTTAGCTTTGGAAAGCACAGCAGGAAAAGCAGTTTCCCCTCCTAACACAGCATTTTAGCAAGTGCTGGGCCGGCCACGTTTCAATCACTTTGCATCTCTGTATCCGCTTTCCAGCCCCGCAAGGGAAATACTTTCATGGATGAGCCCCACCGTTAGCTGAAAGGACCTCTTCAGCACAAGGACTCTAAGTTCTTTGTCCAAGGCGACGTCACTGGGAATTCATATACTCGGTGGCATCTAGTCAGACTCCCAAGGGAAGGGGAAATTCCCAGAGTGGCCGGCCTGTGGCTGAGGTCTGCAGACACCTCTTCTCTAGTCTCTGAAGCTGTTTTAACAACAGCAAGCTGCCAGCTCAGCCACGGCAGCAATACCTTATAGTTATTTATAATAATTATAGATAATAATTAACTATATAAATAGGTATCATAATAATAAGGTAATTATGTTATAACAATAAAGTCATCTGGCTATCTCCAATGTCTTGCAGAAGACAGATTCTTACTAGCAGTGGTACAATAGTTTGCTTTCCCTAGAAGTATACTTAAGAAAAGAGGAATTGTTTCCAAGTTTAAGGCGGTGAAGGCGGCAGAGAAAAATGACAGGTTTCTTTGGCTTTCTGAGGAGATGCCAGGTACCTTCCTCAGGGCTGGAGGTTTGTCATGCCAATCGCAGTTTGGGGGAAGAGAGAAGGGCTCTGTCTGGTCTGTAGGTCGCGTCTTCACGGGGTCAGTGAGAACAGAACAGGACATGGAAGCCCTGGCTAATGTGCCTGGTGGTAACTACATTCCCTTAGGCTAAATAGAGGCCTCGTAAAGACATAGCTCGTACTGTAGGCTGTTCACCACGTGCCAGGACCCACAGAGTAGGTTCTGCCCACGTACAAATTTACTCACTCTTATGACGCCCCTGGTTTCATTAGCCCCTTTACAGTGGAGGACACCGAGCCACATAGAGGGTATGTCACAGGGGTCTAAGTGACACAGAGGGGACAGGCGCTCACGCGGGCTGACCACAGCCTCCTGCCCTCGCCCGCTGCCCTCCACTCCGACCTCCCGTGGAAGATGAGCACTCTGAAACCTGGCTCAGAGGCATTCGTGGCGAGAAGTCTGTGTAGCTGTGACGTCTCTGGGTGTCCGTGTCCTGTCTCTCAAGCCAGGGGCACAGTTGGCTCTTCTCAAAAGTCCCTTCGAGCTGTCACTGTGAGATGCAGAACTTAGCATCCAGTGACATCACGACCAGCTGGCAGTGGCCAGGGTGGGAAGCCACCTGCCGGACAGGCTCGGACCTGTGACTTCTGAGCTGTGTTATTTTGGGGCAGGTTGCTTAACCGCTCTAGAAAATGACACAGTCACGCCAGCGCTTGCACTTTCTCCGTCTCGCTGTCTCCTGTGCGGATGAAACGACATGAAAGGTGGGAAAGGCTTTTGTCTGTCCACATGCTGTGGCAGTGTCTTGTCCCAAGGAGCACTTATAAGGGGTCATCTATAGTGTGCACCAGGTCAGCAAGTTTGTAATCCCACCCTTACGTCCGACCCAGAGCAAGGCTCCTAAACCAAGGAGCTAGAAAGGGGTCTCTTCCCATGAATGTCCCTGTGGATGGAGGGACCCTGACGGCCACTGTTTATTAACCCCTAGGCTGGGCACTATCGTTTATTTCTCACTTAGAGATGCAGTCTCCTTTCTGCAAATGGGGAAACGGAGGCTCAGAGAGTTTCGGCGACTCGTCTGGGCCTGACCACTCGTGGCTGTGAACCAGGGGGCATGACACCTCAACCCATGCCCTTGGCACAGGCTGGCTTCTGTGATCCCTCTTCACACAGAGGCTTGAGGGCGAGCACGGTCCTGACTCCCAGTCCACGTGACTTGTCTTTCTCTTTGATTTTACATCAAACAGCAACTCCCTCCACAAATAGCCGGCGGAGGGGGAGACTAACCACTGTCATTAATTACAAGTCACTCCCTCCAAGCTGCAGAGCCTGACCTCTCGCCATGTGCCTGACAGCAAGGCCTTTCTCTGGAACCAGTTCCCAGGCACAGCCCCTCTTGCTGAGAAAAGCTGAAGCAGTTCCCTCCAAATCCGTAGGCACTTTGCTGGTTTCAAATAGCCAATAGCTGGATTTTGGAGGAGGGCTGGATTTCAGCTTGCCCAGGGGAGGAACATGGGAAGATTCAGAGACGAGTTCAAACAGCAATCTCTCAGGGGGGTAGCAGGTGTCCAATCAGTGACACCAGGCAGACCAAGAGTGATGGTCCCCTGTGGGGGCATCAAGGGCAGCGCTGCTCCAGGTGTTTTCGGTTCCCCACGTTGGGGACCTTTAGGAATTGTTTCCAGGGCTCAGTGCACACTTCTGATGAGCAACGTGCTGTGTTTTAAAATCTCACATATTATTATTTGTTCTTTATATATTGGAATTGTGTGTTGCATCTAAAAATGTGGGCTTTGTATTATTCTTTTAAGTCATTTCCTAGTAATTATTATTTACCAAGATGAAGGTCTGGAATGAACAGGGGGAAAGAAAGAAAGTATCCTTCACTACAAGGGTTTTTAAGCCCATGTTGGAACCAAGCAAGTTGAGAGTTGCTTCCCACTCTCTAGCTACTTTCAGGTACTAACTCCAATGAGGCACTGGGGTTGGGCAGGGAAGCCAGAGAATCAGAATTCTGGATCGAGAAGTTTCTGTCCCTTCCACACTGACACGGCAGCAGAGGGGACCCTGCACCTTCCCAGTGCCCTGAGAGCTTCTCACGGAGGGACCTGGCTTGCCTGAAGCCTGTGGCGAAATAGGAACCCACATCTCTGCACTTCCCATCAATCAATCCTGCACCCCAGCCCTGGTGGGCAGGCCAAGGAAAACAGAGGCAGAGTAAAGCCAACAACTTTTATTATTATTCACGTATTTCATAGGGAAGAAAAGGGGGAAGATGTAGGAAATGGGTCAGGGTTGTAGAAAAATCATCCAGGTTTGTACACGTTGCTCTATTTACATCGGGGAGCAGGCTCCCCCCCATCACGCACAGCAGCTGCACTTGTCCGATGCTCCTTTGCAGACGCAGCCCTGGGCGCACTTGGCACAGCCCACGGGGCAGCAGGTGCAGCAGCCTGGAGAAGGGGAGGAAGCAGCAGAGATGAGTACGTGGGATAGAAGACTTATAAGAAATCCCACCCTTCCCGACTGAGGCCAGCCCGCCCTAACGGGCATCGACTGACTGCCCTGTTGAAACTCCCCTCAGAATGGAATAGAGGGTGGACTGGGGGGTATTGAAGGAGTGAAAAAGAGGATTCCACTCACTCTTCTTGCAGGAGGTGCATTTGCAATCTTTGCATTTGCAGGAGCCGGCGCAGGTGCAGGAGTCGCCTGCAGGAAGAAAAGCACGTGACAATGGTCCCTGAGACCTGACCCAGTGAGCGGGTGCTAGGAGCTCGGATTCGCAAGTTGTAGTCCCTGATCTACAACCAACCAGCTGCGCAGCCGCCTCTCAGTAAGTCGGCGGAGGCCAGCAGAGACGGCGACCACCAAACGCTTCAGAAAGGGATTGGTGCCTTGAAACCCAGCGATTACAAAGAGCAGGAAGGGACGCAAATCGCTTGTCTAGCTCCATCCACCACAGATCCCCCGGGTCCCCAGCCCCGGACCAGGTCCCCTTACCGGTGGCGCAGGAGCAGTTGGGGTCCATGGCGAGCTAAAGAGGTGGCTGGAGTCCGAGGACAGCTGCAGATCGGATCGCTAGGACTTCGAGGAGGCGTGCTGGAGCGGAGCGCGCGGCGGGCTTCCTTTATAGCGGGAAGGAGCCGGGGGCGAGTGCAAAAGCCCGCCCTGGCCGGCGCCGCCTGCACACGCCCCGCGCTGAGTCACTGGCGGCGGCCGGGCGCACCGGGCCCAGTGCTCCCGGCCGGGCGCACAGGGCTGTGCACACGGACCACCGGGCCGCAGTTCCTGGAAGCCACCCTCCTTGCGGGCGACCTCGGGTGCAGGTGGGGCCGGGTGCAGAGACGTGACAGGGGTTCTAGACAGCCCGGGCCGTGCGCTGAGCACCCTGCCGCTGGGCAGCTGGCCAAGCGCCTCCGCCTCCGCCTCCAGCCGGGTACGGCCCGTACTTGAACCCTAGCGGTTAGGGAGAGGGTGCAAAAGACGGCCTTGGGGATCCAGCTCGGACACATAACCCTATGGGAGTGAGGACAGATTTCAAAACACTGTTTGCACCTGTCAAGGCTTAATAACTGTGTAGCAACATGCTAAACCCAGAGGACGCTTGTTGATAACATATCCTATCCATTCGGCACACAGCGCACACAGCGCTTTTATGCGCAGTATCCAGTGTAGTAATCCAGTTATGCGTGAGCTCTCCTTTAACCCTGCATCTACCCCGAGAGGTAAAGACTGTTACTCCCATTTTTAAAGGACAGAAAATGAAGGTTAAGTCACTTGCCCAATGTCACAGAGCTAGGGAGTGGTGGCAGAATCCAGTGATTCAAATTAGAGGGCGGGGGGGATGCTGAAGGGTACCTAAGGGTAGACATCACCCTCGGACAAGCACGAATAAAAATCAAGAAGCCAGAAGCGTTGTGCTCCGGAAACTCCTGGTCATAGGGGCAGTGTCACAAGGGCCCAAAGAGAAGTGAAACGAGGGTCATGGCTAGGATAAAGGGCACCCTCTGGGGCACGGAGGAGACCCGGTCCAGCCAGGAGGAAGTGGGCCCTTTGGCGGGGTCAGGCGGAGAGGGCCTTGTCAGTCAGGGGAGGGAAAGGAGCAGAGAAAGCTAGGACTGGATGGAGAGCTGGCATCGTCCTTGCCCGTGTGGAAGGGAAAAACCCCATGAGAACTTCCCTCCCCCGTGGTGCGGATTCCTCTCCGGATCAGCAACCGCGGGATGCCCAGTGTGTCATCGCAGCGGGGGAGGGGCTACTGGAAAGTTCCCGGCAGACCGGAACGCTGGCTCTGCGCGGGAGCCTAGTGAGGAGGCGGTGGAGGACAGACTGTCCCGGCAGTGTTTACCCTAAGGAAGGTCCCGGGAAACGTTTTCACAGCCCAGTTCAAACGTGGCTTCCTCTGGGGAGTCCGTCCTGACCTCCTCCCCCCCCCCCCGTGCTCCTTCAGGGTGCCCGTAGAACGTGCTGGAAAGCATCCTCCGGAACTTCCCCGTCTGTAATATGTAAGAACTTGGGTGATTCTCGAGTTGCTCTTTGTGTCCCTCCCAGCCCAGTGTGCCACCGAAAACTCCAAGAGCCGTCACTGTCCCTGAAAGGTGTCCCCAGCCTCAGGCACAGGGCAAGGCTGTAGTGAGCGCTCCATGAATATTTGTCCAGTAAATTATTGGGGGGTAATCCCCTCCAGGGCCCCTCCCTCCCCAGCCTCCACCTTGTGTTGGGGGAAGATTGCAAAATGAAAGTAAAACATGCCTTTCACCCCCCTGGGGCCTGCGTGCTAACTCAAATAAAAGCACAAAGCAGGGAGGGAGAGCTGGACCGTTAGAAGGACTAAATTCTAATGGTCACTTTGCTGAGTGGCCTGAGGCCAGTTATGTGCTGGAGTCCCTCTGAGCCTCAGGATACTCATCTGTAAAATGGCCAGACTGCACTAGAATTTGGGCTCCATGTAAACGTCCACTGATTTGAGAGGAAGCTGGCCGACCTCTCACCGGGTCTGGCAGGCTGGTGGACTGAGAGCGTCGCAGGGCTGCTCGCCAGCAGCGGGCCAGCTGTGCCGCTCATATTTGCCTGTACGCACTCATGTATGCCAAACTCCTGCTTTCTACTCAACCAGGAGCCATTTGTCCACTCAGTGGAGACAATCCAACTCCATGAAGAGACAACTAGGCTTGTGTTTTGCCCTCAAAGTATCAAATCTAGCCCTGGGTTCGGGCTGTCCATGCTGGCAGGGAAACCTGCTTCCCGTCTCAGCTGAATCATTTTGACTCTGCAAGGGGACAGATGACCAACCAGCAAAGGCGACAAGGGGCTGGGCTTAGTCTTGCTCATCTTTGTGCCCCTAACATAATGGGGACAGAAAGCAGGCAGATACTTTCCTCCCTGGGAGGATCGCGTGACTGTCGTCCCCCAACATGTAGCATCTGTCTGATCCCATTTCTTCCTCCTCCTTACTGACCCTGCCTTCATTCAGAGGTGTATCGGTCACCTCTTGCTCCATAACAAATTACCCCCCCCCCCACTGAGCAGGTCAAGACAACACTCCTGCATTATCTCTAGTTTTTGTGGGTCAGGAATCCAGATGAGGCTTAGCTGGACCCCTGGGCCCTCAGACACAAGCCCAGAGTCAGGGCTGCAGGCATCTCAAGGGTGACCTGGGACAGGATCTGCTTCCAAGCCCTCTCGTGGGGTTGTTGGCAGGACCTGGGACCTTGTGGGCGACCATCCTGAGGCCTGGGCTCCTCACAGGCCCTGGGCTCCTTGCCATGTGGGCTTCAGCATGGAGCGTCTCACGGCACAAGGGTGTGCAGGCAAGAGGGCCGGAGAGAGAGCGCTCCCCACAGAGTGTGCACCAGACCCAGGCGGAAGGCACAGTCTTCTGTTTGTGACCCAGGCGAGGAAGTGACATTCCATCCCTTACTCTGGTAGGAGAAGTTGCTAGGTGCAGGCCCCACTCAGGGAAAGAAATCTCACAGGGCATGGGTAGCACAGGCTGGGATTGCTCAGGGCCACCTTAGGAGTCTGGTTACACTGGCGAAGCAAATGGTGCCTGGTCCGACTTCAGGCTCTTTGCCTTGATCCTTCTCTCCACTTCATCTGTTGGTTCTCAGTTGAAAGGCCATTTTCTTAGAAAAGACATCCTGGACCCCAAAATAGGCTGTACCCTTCTGTTACCAACAAATGCACCCCTTCTCTGGAGCCCTTACGGCAACCACAGTTACTAGTACTTAAGCAGCTCCTGGTTACAAGGCCCATGCATATCCTGTGCCAGGATCTCTGGGCTTCCCTTACCCCTGTGAATTCACTTGATCCTCCTGTCCACCTTTAAGGTGTGGGCTGTTATTACCCACATTCTACAGAGGGGAAGCTGAGACTGAGAGATGTGAGTATTATCGCTCCAAGCAACTTGCCTGTAAGGGGCAAACCAGGCAGTCTGGCCCCAGTGCCCCTGCACTTAGCCAGTCCGCTGCACCACCCCTTGGGGTAGCTAGTGTGGGTGTATGTGGCTCTTTGTTTCATCTTTGACTCTCCCCCAGGCTGTGGGCTGTGTCCTTTGTGCTCCCTGTCCAAGCTCTGGCACCTGGCACAGTGCCTGGCTCTTGGGGGCTGCTTAATAATGTAGAGGAATGAGAACGGACTCCAGTTGGCAGGGGTAAGCAGGCTCCTCGCAGGGCCAGGCCCACCTTGAGGAGAGCCAGCCTACGAAGCCTGCCTCCAGGGAGAAGCCAGACCCCCTCCAGCATCAGCCCTCCTGATGAACCTGACCTTGGCTTCCCTCTTTTGTTCCCAACCACGTCTGCCCGAGGGTCAGAGCATCCCACGGCCTTCTGGCCTTGGTAGGCAGCCACCACGTTGAAAACAAGAGCTCTTGGGTATCTCTTCTTAGGGGGACACTGACTCCGTTGTATCAAGGCCCCACCGGTATGGCCTCATGTAACCTTAGTCACCTCCTCATAGGCCCTGTCTGCAAACAGTCCCACTGGAGTGAGAGCTTCGACCTAAGAATTGGGGTGGGGGAGGGGTGAAGCAGGGGGACAATTCAGATCACAGCATGGTCATATGGCAACTCTTTTCTATTACTGTTTAGCTTTATGTATTTTTACTTTTAAGTCATGGTCAAATGCACACAACACAGAATTGACCTTCTTAAGCACTGTTAAGTGTGCAGTTGAGCAGGGTTAAGAACATTCGGCTTGTGCGGGCCAGTCTCCAGGACTCAAACTCTGCCCCCACCAAACAGCTCCCGGTGCCCCGCCCCCTGCCCCGCCCCACAGCCCCTGGTGACCACCATTCCTTTTCTATTGATATAGGAAGCTTTAAAGAACCTTTGTTTAAACTTTATTTGCCCAGGCCCCAGGCGCCCTGGGGAGAATGCTGGGGTAAATAAACAATGGAGCATTAGCTAGGGCTGAGATTAGCACCGGTGCTGATAAAAACTAACCTTCGAATTTAGCCTTTGTACTTTACTTTCGCCTCCTGGCTAGGACTAACTTCTGCATTCCTGCTTCTGTATCTTGCTTTACTACCCCCAAGGCTATATAAACTTCAAGAATCCTTTGTTTGTGGCTCAGAATTTGGAGATTGACTCCTCTGGGCCCGTGCACCTTAATAAACCTTGTACTCCAGAATCCCTCGGTGTCTGGTTGCTCCATTTTCCTGCAACACAATCTCTGCGGATTTGACAGCTCTAGGTCCCTCACAGAAGTGCAATCATGCAGTGTTTGTCTTTTTAGGACTGACTTATTTCCCTCAGCACAACGTCCTCAATGGTCATCCATGTCGTGGCCTGCGTTGAAATTCCATCCCTTATTTAAGTGGCTGAGTGTTCCCCCACTGCATGGATGTACCACCTTCAGTTATCTGGTTACCCTTCGGTGGATGCCCAGATTACGTCTGTCTTTTGGCTGCTGTGAATAATGCTGCTACAAACATGGGGCTACGAATATCTCTCTGAGACCCCACTTTCCATACTTTTGGGTGTGTACCCCTGAAGTGGACTTGCTGGAGACTACAGTGATTCTGTTTTTAATTTTTTGAGGAACCCCCACACCATCTGGTTAGTGGCTGCATCGTTTTGCAAGGGTCCCAAGTTCACATCCTTGCCAACAGTTACTTTCTGTTTTGTTCTGTTTTTTAATAGTAATAGCCCGCTATGGTCTGAATGTCTGTGTCCCCTGGGGCCTTTGGGGGGTGCTTTGGTCATCAGGATAGAGCTTTTGCAAGTGGGATTAGTGGTCAAATAAAAGAGACCTCACAGAGAGCCTCCTAGTCCCTGCCACCAGTGAGGACAGACTGAGTCTTCATCCTAGAAAAGGGCCTTCCCCTAACTGCACCCTAATCTCAGACTTCTGGCCTCCAGAACTGTAAACGTCTATTTTTTATAAGCTACCCAGTCTGTGATAGGTTGTTATAGCAGCTCAACTGGATGCAGAGACCATCCTAAGGGGTGCGAGGTGATTTTATATATATTTTTTCTTTTTTATTTTAAGGCTTTTTGTAACACCAGGCAAGACGGAAGAGAGAAAACGAGCATGGTTAGGTTTAAAAGCCTAGACTTCAGGCAGCCTGGGTGCAAAACCTGGCTCTACCACATTCTAGCTACGTGATCTGTTAAAAACAAGCAACAGCCCCCAAATGGAGTCACTTGTGCTAAGTTCCACATCATCAATCACTTTGTTATGGCTTTGGCTCTCCCAGAAATGGGATCTTAAACCAATCCAGGATCACCTGATCCCCACTAGTTAGGTAATCTGCCTGACCGATCCCTGCCATCCCCTGAGGGAAAGTAACTGCAATAATCAACTAGTTTTGTCTTGGTTTTGTCTATTATAACTTTCTCATCCCTTCTGCCTGTAAAAGTCTTTCATTTCATGCAACTCCTTGGGGCTCCTTTCTCTCTGCTAGATTGGATGCTGCCCAGTTCAAATTGATTTTTGATCAAATGAACTTTTATGATTTCATTATGCCTCCATTTATTTTTAAACAGGCCTTACACAAATGACCCTAGGCCCTATTGCCTCATTGATAAAATGGTTATAGTAGTCATACCACTCTTCCTGAGTTTAAGGATCAAGTAAGATAATATACTTAAGGAGAAGGAGTATAAGGTAATCTCAAATGTATTAATCTTTTATGTGTTTAATTTTTTTTAAAGTTTTATTTATTTTTAGAGAGGAGAAGGGAGAGAGAAAGAGTGGGAGAGAAACATGGATCTGAGAGATACATTGACCAGTTGCCTCTCTCATGCCCTCAACAGGGGTCCCAGCCCACAGTCCAGGCCTGTGCCCTAACTGGAAACTGAACCAATGACCTTTCAGTTTGTGGAAGCCTACCCGGCCCACTGAGCCACACCAGTGAGGGCTTAAGTGTCTCATGTAAAAGAATCATCTCCAAGCCCTGGCTGGGTAGCTCCGTTGTTTGGAGTATCATCCTGACACACCACCAACCCAGTTGTGGGTTCAATACCTGGTCAGATCAACCAATGACTGTTCCACAAATGGTGGAACGACAAACCCGTGTTTCTCTCTCCCCCTCTCCTCTCTCTCCCCCTCAAATCAATCAACAATAAATAGGTAAATAAATAAATCACCTCCACCCCAAAGTAATAAGCATTTTATTTTTCTTTTCCAAATTCTCTTATAGCTTTGATTTCTGCTTTTTTTGTGTGCTTTGCAAAAGGGTTGCCAGTCATTCCAATACTTTTCACTGACTGGGGAATACTTCTGCCACTGACTTGATTATCTACTTCTTCTGGCTACACAGAGATCCGTTTTGGATTTTGTTTTCCTTTTTATTGAATTTATTGGGGTGACGCTGGTTAACAAAATTCTACCACTTGTGATCCGTATACTGTACTGTGTGTTCAGCACCCCAAGTCAAGTCTCCACCCATTGGTCCATTGCCATTCATCCCCCTCCCTCTCCCCCTTTGGACTCGCTGTCCAGCTGATCTATTCCTGAGCGACAGCCCTTCCTACAGCCTTAGAACGACCAGCACCAGCAAGTTAGAGCAAGCCTTTTTTGTTTCTTTACAAAACTGGCCCGGATTTTCTTGCACTGTTTTTCTAAACTCAGCCTGTTAGGTTAAAAAACAAATCCTGGGGGACTTTTGAACAGACCGTTCTGAAAACCTAACTGGGAGGAAAACTGCTGGGAAGTCTTTCTCCCCCGGATTCCGTGTCTCCCTTCCCAGGCAACCCAGGTGCAGCGGGGCGGTCCCTTCGATCCCCACGGGACCACAACCAGGGCCTGTGGAAGCTCCTGTTTCCCGGCTTCCTGAGAAGAAAGGAGGAGCTGAGACAAATCGCCTTAATGAGATTTGAAAAGGAGCTGAACACTCCCTCTTAGGGACTCAGGGTATTCAGGGCTGTGACCTAGGAAACGTGGTTGACAGTTTGCCAAGACAGGCCCTGGGGACCCCTGGATTTCCTTCTCATGACTCTGAAGACAGGCAGCTTTGTAGGAGCAACTAGAAAATTCCAGAAACTACAGGCCTTTGAGGCTGGGGCGTGGTTTTCACTTCCCCCAACCCCCATTGTTCAGATGAAGAGAGGTTGAGAGAGGGAAAAAGAGACAATGGACCTGCCCCCCCCCCCCTTTCCCCAGACTCGATCTTGACCTAGCAGGAGGATCAAGGCCCATCTGAAGGTGGGGAGGATGGGCTCTGCACTTCATCTCCGCCCAAGCAGAACAGCAGCCAAGTCTCAGGGTTTCACTTTTCAACCGGGCAGTTCCCTCTGCTTAAGCACCCTCCTCCCCCATCTCTTCCCCTTTAAGAAGAGACCAGTCCTTGGCTTATTCCATTCATAGGATTTATTGTCACTTGCCAGCAGCTGGCAGGAGTGGGGGATACAGAGCCGAGCCTCCCCGCAGGGTGAGGTGGCACTGGGCCACCCGCACTATCTACACCTGTTTCTCGGGGTGGGGGCGGCAGGTCCTGGCCTCACTCGCAGCAGCTGCACTTCTGAGCCTCGGCCTCCGCCCCCTCTCCACCTTTGCACGCGCAGTCCTTGGAGCATTTCTCACACTCTGCGGGGCAGCAGGAGCAGCAGCCTGCAGACAGAACAGGGGGTGCCCGTCTGATGGCCTCCCCCCACATCTGTTCCCATCAAAGGAGAGCAGGGAAGGGGGGTGCCAGGAGGCTGGTCTGGTCCCCTTCCTAGCCTCACACCTGGTTCCACTCAGCATTTGGGGTGTGTCAGGGGCATGCTGGCCTGCCTGCCTGCAGGACCGGGGTACCCAGCAACTACCCTGCAGTGCGTTAGGTAAATGTAGGTGAGGCAGGATAGTAAGATACGAGGAAAATTCCTCGGCAAGTGGAACAGGGAAACTGAGACAGACAGCTGAACACACTGGCTGCAAAATTACAGTCAGGGGCAGGAGGTCACCAGGGTGGAAAGCCCGAGGTGCCTAGCAACGGGCCAAACTGGTGCCAGACCTCACCTTCAGGAGGGGGCGTTTGCTCCCCTGGCATGTGGCTGGTCCTGTCATTGAGACCCTCTTCTGACCTTTCCTCCTTAGAGATGACATCTAGGCCTCTGCTGCATTTCAGCTCCAGGCCCAGAAAAGCAGCAAAGCCAGGTGGGCGATGCCCGGACCAGCTGCAGTGTCTAACGACCCCCTGGCCTGGCGCTGACCAATGGGTGGGGACCACGGCCCTGACGAATATTCTACTGAGGTCTCCCTTCAAATCCCTACCTTTGGAAAGCAGAGAAAATCCCTCAAAACAAAGAAGCCAGCATGCCTTTCGTGGGGCACACACACTCAAATTTCCTTTTCAGGTGAATTTTCTTTCTCCTAAACTTGAAGGGTCCCCCGAGACTTGCAAACCGGGGAGCAGTGAGCAGCTGCAGCTCATCCCAGGCTCACCCCCTGAACGGGTCTCCACGGCCCCCTTTTCTCTGACTTTCCAGGGAGCCGACTGCTTTCCTCTAACCTCTCCAGAGAGCGGAAGCAGCCCCGCCTCGGCTCTCCTGTTGCTACTTCCATCTCAAGCCTTTCCTTGTTCTGCCCCAGCTTTAATAAACATACTCTCCAAGTCACCTGGACTCGTGCTGTGAAATCTTTCCTGCACGAAGTCAAGACCCCACACACGACAGCTGGCCCTCGGCAGCCCTGCTCCGACCCTGTCCCCTTTCAGGTAACACAGGGGAGTCCCGGATGGTAGGAGGGTCAGGCCAAAAAATCAGCTTGAATTGGGCAGGCTGGGGGAGTGCTGGGCCTTATGGAGACAGCATGACAGGGTAAATGGCCTTGAAAAGAGCCTTGAAGGATAAACTTGGAGGAGCTGAGATGGTACAGGTGTGGGGGGTGGGGGCAGGAGACCCATGAGGCCACCCACCCCTACTCTTACACATCACAGAAAAAGAGAGCCTTCCCCACACTGCCTCCTCCCCTTGCACACCACACTGCTTCTGCTTCCAGGGAGGCCTGCGGGAGATGAATGAAGAGGAATCCACCAAGACCTGGGAGGGGCTGAGGGGTTCTGCGGGCTCCATGGCCAACCCCCAGCCTCATTAAAGGCTTCCCCAAGCACTGGAGGTTTGAAGGGGAGGGTTGGACCAGGGTAACAGTTCTCAGTTCCAGCTGCACGTGAGCATCTTCTGGGAATTTCCAAAACATCTTGCCCCAGGCCTTCTGGATCGGTCACTGGGGGTGGGGCCAAGGCGATTGTATCCTAAGGCCTCCCCCAGTGCTTCTGCCCCAGAAAGAGTAAGAAGCAGTGTAATAGGGCGCCTGGGGGTCCCTCCACGTCACGCTGACAGACTGGGGGCGCAGAGAGGGCACAGGGGAGGGAGTCCCCACACTCACTTTTCTTGCAGGAGGTGCATTTGCATCCCTCGCACTTGCAGGAGCCGTTGCAGGTGCAGGAACCACCTAGAGGGGGAGAAGCCACAGAGATGGCTCAAGTGAAAAAACTCGCGTGGGGCCAGGCCTAACGGGATCCCTTTGGAATACAACCATGTCTACCCTACAGGAAGGCTCAAAATGGGAAATAAGGGTCCCTTCCCCCCAAATGTCCTTGACGGAAGCCATAGGGCATGGGCTTCTTTGCTAGTGAGAGGCGCGCTGTGCCGCAGCATGGGGGCGGAGGGCTCACCAGCAGGGCACGGGCAGGTCTCAGGGTCCATGTCGAGCGGAGATGCCGCTGGAGACGGCGAACCGACTTCTCCCAGCAACTGGATGCTCTAGCGGCAGCAGGTGATGAGTTTTTTATAGCCCCAGGCGGTGGCGCGCATGCACAGCCTGACGGCTGCGCGCTCCGTGCCCCCTCTCCATCTGGGCTCACCGCCCGGCGGAAGCGCGCATTGCGGCAGCGGTGCCCCCTCCCCGCGCAGTGCCCTCCAACGCGTCGCCCTGCCTACAGCCACCCCACATCCCACCCTGTGCACTGGGGAGGACAGTCCCGGCTTGAATGCACGCCTCCCTGTGCCCTGCTTGGGACGCGTCCTTGAGGTGGACGCTTCAGAGCTGGGAGAACAATCCCCGCCTCCTCCCCTTCCCTGCACCGTGCCGGGTAGTTTTATATGTCAATTGACTGGGCTACGGGATGCCCAGATAGCTGGTGAAACACTATCTCTGAGTGTGTCTGTGAGGATGGTTCCAGAAGAGGTTAGCATTTGAATTGCTGCGCTAAGTAAAGACTGCTCTCACCAAGGTGAGTGGGCATCATCCAATCCGTTGAGGGCCTGGAGGACCCGTTTTAACCTCTGCGTGAGCTGAGACATATTTTCTGTCCAGAGACGCTGGGACCAGGGCGCGCTCCCGGCCTGCAGGTTTCAAGTTCGGGCCAAATCGCCCCGCAGCTATCTTGGTTCTCCAGGTTGCGGAGTGCAGACTGTGGGCCTTCTCAGCCTCCGTAGTCATGTGATCCACACCCTATAATAAATATATAACACGTGCTAGTATACATGTATACACTCATATATGTATATATACACACATGCACTCAGGGCGGAGCAAAAACATGTTTACAGTTGTGAGTACAAAAGTTTATTCTTGTATTATCATTTATTAATTATTGTATTATTTTTCCATAAAACCACCATTAGCCCACTTTTGTCCCACCCTGTATGGCTATGTAATGTAGCTCATATCAAAATCCATGTGTATCCTGGTTCTGTGTCTCTGGAGAACCCTACCGCACCTCCACACTCTCGAGTAGCCAGGATTTTGAGGGGTCTGAAAACCACAGCATCCTTCTGAAACATCCTCCCCCCCGCTCTCCACCTGGCTGGGCCCCCCACCTGCAGTTCTCAGCGTCTAGGACCTGCAGCGAGCATTTCACCCAGGTGTGCTTTCACCCCCGCCTCTGCCTTTACTCCCTCCACCCTCATTAATTCCCACAACCTGAGATAATTTTCCGTTCCTTCTGTCTGTGGAGCTCTTCCCACAGACACCCACACAGCTCACTCCCTTCTTTCTCTGCTTCCAAGTCTTCCCTCGAATCTTGTTGTCTCCAGGAAGCCCACCATGATCACTCCGTTTAAAACCGCAACACACACTTCAAACCCCAGGACCCGGACCCCCATACTCTGCTGTCTTTTCTTCTTTCATAGCATACAACGCCTCCTGATAAACTCCTTTATTTGTAGAGCTTACATGCTGCCTGCCTTTCCTGCTAGAATTTAAGCCCCAGATCTTACCAGGGATCTTTGCTTTTGTCCACGGACCCTCTGAAGCACCTAGAAAATAATGTTCTGTACACAAGACATTCGGGACACATTTACTGAATGAATGAATGGCTCTGGAGACAAGTTGACTGGGTTCACAGTCTGACTCTGCCACTTACTAGTAATGTAGTAAGTTACCAGGAAGTTGCTCAACATTTCCATGCCTTAGGTTGCTCAAGAGTCCCCATTCACTGTTCCTAAATGGGAATAACAGTAGTTCCTACCTTATAGGTTTGCCAGGGGCTTACATGGCCTGGCACTTGGAAAGCTGTCAGAGCAGAGCCCTAACCGTGTTGGTTCTTAACCATTTACAGGTGAATCTGAGACTGGGGAGGTCAAATGAGGACTCTGCAGGGAGCCTGGGAATCCTAGAACTTCTACCAGACTCCCAGCTCCGTTGAGGGCCTCAGCTGTCTGTGCCCTGAATTGCAGCTGCCTCCCACCCCCTCGGGTCCAGAGGGAGGACAGGCAGCAGCACCTCCTTCTCCTAACAATGACCCTGGGGCAGCCTCACCTAGCATCAGAGTTCTTGCTCACACCTCGCCTTACTTCAGAGGTTCTCAGCTCTGGGCCATTTCATACCCTAGGGGACATTTGGCAAGGTCTGGGAACATTTCGGTTGTCACAACTGTGGGGGTTAGTGATGCTACTGGTACCTAATGGGCAGAGGCCAAGGATGCTGTTAACCATCCTGCACACACAGAATAACTTCCCAAAACAAAGGATTATCTACCCCAAATTTCAACAGTGTGTTAATGTAAGAAATGTCCAAACCTGTAGAGAATTTTTACAAAAATTTATTTGCGCCAAATAGAGCATATGCCTGGAATTGAGATCTCAGCAGACAGACCAATTCTTCAGTTGGTAGTTTGTTTGTTTGTTTAATGCATTTGAGATTAAGGAGGAAAAGTCAGGGAGATTACATAAAGGTGGGAGAAAGCAAGGTGGGGATCACATGACCAAACTGTTCACAGGATATGTCTTTTGAGGGCCATCAGTCTTTAGAAGGAGGGGCCTGAGAGGCTGGTCCTGCTCCAGGAGAAGGACTCTGAAAAGGGGCATGTCAAAGGTGTGTTAACCTAGATGTACAGAAACAATGGCAGGGCTTGCTTAAGGCAAAGACGGGCCTTTACTGAGGAGGTTCTATGGCTCTGACTGGTGCGGCTCAGCAGGCTGGGCATCGTTCTGCAAACCGAAAGGTCACCATTTCCATTCCTCATCAGGGTAAGTGCCTGGGTCAGGGGTGTTGGATGGACCTTGGTCTCCCTCTCTTTCTCCCTCCCTTCACCTCTCTCTAAAAACAAAGAAACAAACAAATAAATAAATAAAATCTTCAAAAGAAGTTACGTGACTGCGCTGTGACTACCCACCATGACCTGCCTGCCCAGTTAGAAATTTATGATCAGACCACCCTGTGAGGTGACTTTCCATAGAACCCCTTCTTCTGTCCACGGTGCTGAGGTTGAGAGACGCTGCTTTGCTGTGTCTTAGGACAACTCCAGGATGCTTTCTGGCAGCACAGACGCGGAGGGAAGAGAGCCGGGAGGACCAGAAAACCTGCTGTCCACTCCCTGCGTCCGCGTGTCTGTGGGCCTCTGGTTCGTCCTCTGTCACCCGAGCACAGTCGGGGCTGGCCCTGCCTGCTTGACAGAGGTGCTTGGGGCTGAAATAGGAGAAAGCAAGTGAGAGCACCTGCCAGGGGAGTGGATGGTGAGGCTGGGCATGGGGGCAGGGAAGCCACCCTCTGACCTACTGTAGTCACGTGGCCAAAACTTTCCACGATACCATGTCAAGGGTTCTGTCCCTTCCTCATCTTCAAAAGTAAAGCAGACAATTCAGGTCACGCGTGCCTCCGATTCAAAAACACCCTGCTCTAGCTTCCTCCTCCTCCTCCCCTCCTTCATTCTTTCTTTATTGTATACATTTTTGGAAATGTGAGAGTATGACTATATAATCCTTTCAAATATAAAAACAGAAGCCTACAGGGCACACTGATTTATAAGGGACTTCCCCCCACATTGATCATTAGATTATAAACATCTGTCCCTGAAATCAGCTTCATTTCTGCCATCTTATTTTGGTACATGCGTCTGACGGTCTGTCAAACCAGTCCCCTACGCGGAGACCTCTCTGTCGTCTCCAAACTTCCCCTGCTCTCGTCCAGGCCGTGGCAAACATCTTGGCAGCTTGTGTGTGTGTGTCCCTTTGTGATTTTTTCTTAGGAGACAGTATTCTTTAAAATAGAACTTCTGGCCCAAAGTGTACATGTATTAATTTCACAAAACAGTGTTTTTGTTTTAAATAAAGGTGAACACATTTTGGGAAATCCAGAAAAATAGCAAGAAGGAAAAATATCTGTGATCTGGACACAGCCGCCATCAACATTTTTGTGGATTTCATTTTTACATTTTGTATTCTCCGTGGCTCCTTTAAAAAAAAAAATCACATAACTACTTCGTAACTTCGAATTGGTTAAAGGTTTTACCGTAATCATTTCCTGTGCATTTTTAGTGGCTCTCTCATACCCCATCATGGGCCTGGGCTGCAGCTTACTGGAACAATTTTGCAGACTGAGAGTTGAGGTTGTTTCCAGCTTTGCACAATTACAAATACTACTGCAGTGAACCTTTTTATGAGTGAGGTTCCCCCCCACCCCTTGAATTTGTGGTGAATTCCTTAGGATTTCCAGAAGTGAAACTGTTGGGTCAAATGGGAAAAAAAGTTTTTAGAGTTCATCGATGTGCATTGCCAAATTATTTTAAAAGCCTTATCCCCTGTGAATCTGGGTAGTTTACACATTAAGGCCTTTTACACTTACGGCTTAATTGGCTCTTGGAGAGCTTGTCCTGATTCACCCTCCCAACACTGGAGTCTGAGGGGTCTAGGCCCTTTCTGGGTTGTCCGGGCCCCAAACACAGCCAAACTAAGTTGGGAACAGCCCCCTTAGCGCTTGCACAATTCCCGGTGTCTCAGGAGCACACCAGCCTTAGCTGTCTCTGGGCCTGGAGTGCCCCCTGCAGCCCAAACGAGGAACTACCTTTCTCATCCTGAGACCTGGGCCCCTTGCCCACCAAGCCCTCTTCTGGCCTCCATCCAAGTTGGAATATGTCCGGAGCAGGTGCAGGGTCTGTCACAGCCTGTTTGAGGTTTCCAATGTCTTCCTCATGCAACACGGGAACGCAGCCCAGGATGTCTCAGCCTTCCTTTGTGTTTCCTCTGCTTAAGTTTTATCCCTTCAAGGTCACATGTGACCAGTCTGTTCACTTTTCTCTTCGCTACACGCCCCCCCCCCCCATCTTCCCACAGGGTTTTCAAACTCCTCTCTCAGCTAGCCCTGCCTGAGTTGCAGTGTCGTCTTTGAGTCTCAGTTTCCTCACCTGTAGAATGGGGATAATAATTCCCATCCTGCAGCGTAATTGCAAAGAGTAGCAATTATACCAATAAGAAGCCTAGCCTTTAGCACAAGACGGTAGGACTGAAAACCTGCATTCACCTCTCCTTCTTCCTGAAAATCTGTCTAAAGAAACTTTTAAAAGTCAAGGAGGGAAAACAAGAAAAACTAATAAAAGAGCCGAGGATTGGGGTTTGTGGAGAAGAGGCTGTGGCACGAAGTGAGGGCTGCCTGGCCCTTGCTGGACCCTGATGCCAGATCCAGTTAGATTTGGGCAGGACAAAGATTGCTTCCGGGTCAACCCCACCGCCCCCGCCCCTGTGCCCCAGGCACGCAGGTTCCGGACACAGGCCTGTGCCCTTCCTCAGGCAAACATGCAAGTCTGTTCCCCATTATCTGCATACCCCATCCATCCTGCCTGTCCTGTGTGACCCCTTCGCATCTGCCACATGGTGCAGAGATCATCCATGTCATCTTGTTGTCCCCACAATGAGCCTCCTACACACAGAAGTTCCCTTAGAAAACTCTTGATGTAACAGTGGGGCTGTCAGCCTCTTTCTTTGGTCTCTTTCCCTGAGAAATTTTACACAACAGTGTGAGAGAGGATGATTTTGACAAGTATAACATTTTTCTGGAGTACCAGGATGGGTCAAGTTCCATTTACGGATCAATGGGAGCAGAGAAAGCCACAGCTCAGCTCCAGCATTAGAGAGAAATAAGATGGGGGAGGGGTTGTTTTTTGTTATTGGGGGAGTCAGGCTGGAAAGCAGCAGGCGAACTAGCTTCTGAAACCAGGATGGAGACTAATGGGAGATGCGACTGTGGATCTTCCAGGTGGCCTGGGTTGGCCTCCCTACCTCATCTTGTACAGCTCTGCCATTTGCCCCCACGCTGAGGCTGTCTTCTGCAGAGAAAGGGAGTAACCAGTCTGGGAGGGGCCGGGCTGCCGAGGGGGGGCTAGAGAAGGGCCAGCTCCTACCCGGGCGTGCCAGAACCAAGTCTGCTGTCCCACAAGCCCGGCCCACACCCACAGAGCCCGCCTGCAGCTCCAAGAAGCAGAAATAGTTTAAGAAAGGGAAAACTTAACAATGAAAATAAAATAAAATAAAAACTTTAACTCATCAGAGAGATTCAGGAAATCACTCCATTCAAAAAATTAAAGCAGCCTTGGCTGGCGTGGCTTAGTTGGTAGGAGTGCTGCCCTGTAAACCAAAGGGTCACAGGTTCGATTCCTGGTCGGGGCACATACCTAGGTTATGGGATTGGCACCGTCAGGGCACATGCTAGAGGCAACTGATTGATGTTTCTCTCTCACACTGATGTTTCTCTCTCTTTCTCCCTCCCTCCCTCCCTCTCTCTGTCTCTAAAAAAAAAAGTCAGTGAGCATGTCCTTGGGTGAGGATTAATATTATAACGACAACAATAGTAATAATGAAACACAGGCCCTCGCTGGGTAGCTCCGTTGTTAGAGCACCCTCTCCATACCCCAGGGTTGTGGGTTTGGTCCCCAGTCAAGGCACATATAAGAATCAACCAATGAATGCATCAATAAGTGGGGTAGTAAGAGCTCTGATATGCACATCGGCCATCTGGGGGAGAGAACACAAACCTTGGTTTCTCATTACATTGACTGCTGCGAAATGCAAGAACCTGAATGAACAGCACGCATTTCTCCTGGCCCACCTCTGCCCAGTCACCCCGTCCTGAAGGCTGACCTGAATAACCAAACTGGGGCAGCTACCGCCCTCAGTGTCTTGGCCTCGAGGATGCCCACCAGACCCACGCTGACCCCCTGTGGCCGATTCAGTGCTGAAGTCCCTCAAACAGCACCATTAACACCACGAGGTGTTCTGGGCCAACACTATGCCTGAGGAGCCTGGCTAAACCTGGGTTTTACCCCCAAAGCAGACCGTGTACAAGTAGCGTCTTAGGGTGGGAACCCCAGGAAGCTCTGGTGGGAGAATGGAGAAGTGAGACAGAGAAGGAAGGGTGCTGATACGGGGTATGTTGAAGGGCAGCCCACTGCAGTGGGCCGCTGGGGGTCAGTGCAGCTGGGGACACCTGGGGGACGACAGGGTGGACCAGGTCTCAGATTTGTTCCACTGTAAGGGCAAAGACACTGAGGGTATTTATTTTATCTACTAATTCCTCTTTGTCATCTGTTAAGGGCTGTTTTCCTGTGGCCTTGCCTTCCCCCATCCCCCCAGCCTGCCCTGTGCTTGCATCCAGAAAGCTCAGGCAGCAGGGACAGCCCCCAGACAGAGGTGCAGGAGTCTGCGGGTAGCAGCCCTGTGCAGAAGGGTCGCAGGCTGGCCACCGATGTCTCTGCCACAGAGTCAGCCCTTCCCGGTCCTTCCTGGTTGAGGTAAAACAGCTCTCTGACCACCAGACAACCACGAGTAAAAACTTTATTGCTTCAAGCACATCACAGAAATGTCACTGCCACCTTGTTGGGGCGAATATATAAAAAGTACCATCGTTTCAACTTCTCAGCGAGCCCTCTGTGCAGACATTTCCCGGGCCTCGCCCTCAGCAAGGCCGGTGGGTCTCAGTGGCAGCAGCTGCACTTGTCCGATGCTCCTTTGCAGATGCAACCCTGGGCACATTTGGCGCAGCCCGGGGGGCAGCAGGCGCAGCAGCCTGGAAGGGGGGGAGACGGACAGCTCAGCTTTGGGTCCACACTGCTGTCTTACCCCTTCCCCTCCCCTGCACTTGGAGGAAGCGGGGAGAGAGGAGCCTGCCACAGGCTGCAGCCCACGTCACGACCACCCTGGGATGCTGGAGCTGGGAGGGATCTCAGAGGCCGTGCAGAGAAGGGGAAGGGCTTGGCCAAGGTTATTGGACAGTGGCTGACCCGAGACCCAAACCCGGAGCTGCTGACTCCAGCCCAGTGCTCTCTCCCCCTCACCTCCGAGCAGGCTGGAACCACCCCTCATTCTTCTTCCTACTCCGAACACCTGAAACTGTGGATACCCTCATGGCCAGGTGGGCTGCAGCCCTGGGGAGCCCAGCTCTCATTTCAGACCACTCGCAAGTGTGGGTAGAAGGCATCCAGAGGCCCTCCCCGCCTCACCCCACCCCACTGGCTGGAGGGCTGAGGACCGAGGGAACAGACTTTCCCAGCTCCGGGCCGAGGTGCCCCGGTCGCCATACTCACTTTTTCGACATGTTTTACAGTTGCACGTTGTGCATTTGCAGTTGTCTCCACAGAGGCAGACTCCTCCTAGAAGAGAGGACAGGGCCATCATACACGTGAGGGCTGAGGCGGAGCGGGGACCGCTGGGCGCGCTGCAGACCGCCACGGCGGCAGGATTCCGGCTCTCCCTGGGCGGTGCTGGACGGGGGGGACGAAGACACAGCCGAGCATCCCCCCAAGTGGCGAGGAGCATCCATCCAGTGGTTCCCCGTCACAGTCCACGCGGGGAGACTGGGGTGGCTGCCTCAGCGACCCCCAGAATCCTCGTGACAATGTAGATTCCTGGGACCGGCATTTGACGTGTTCTGAGTCAAAGGTCTTGGTGGGGAAAGGGAGTCGGTGTTTTTAAAAAACAACACGTGGTTCTGCTGTCGAATCAGGGCTGAGAACCACAGGAGGAGGCGACTCCCCCAGGCTCCAGGGACCGTGGGAGCCTTTTGTACCCCCTTCGCCTTGTCAAGGTCCCAGGCAACCGGGAGCCCTGAATGGTTGGGAGGGAGAGCAAAGGACATTAACAAGCCCAGAGTGAGAGCCCCAGGCGCTACTGCTTCCACATCATAACAACCCTTTACACTTTAAAAAATCACCCCACCTAGTGTTTTGAATTGGGAGATACTGGAAGCTCCTGTCTCTGGCAAGCTTTTTGGTACAGACATGTCCTGTTAAGGACCACAGAGGCTTCTTCATACCCTGTCTCAAGGCCAGAAAACTCAGGATGGCTCCGAACCGGGGCCCCACCCCTCCCGGCCAACAGGCTTCCGTGGCGTTAGGTGGTGTCACAGACTCAGGAGTCCCCAGGCACTTCTAACGACTCCCTGGACATCGGCAGGTCCTGTATGATTCCTGCACTTTCACCACTTCCCTAGGAGACGGACACGGGATGGGGGGTGAGTAATCTAGTTTTCAGGTGAGGAAACAGAGCTCTGGAAATGGTAAATGATAGAAGTGATGGCTGCGATGGACTGAAACCAGGCAGCCGGGCTCTGGGCCTGAGCTCTTGAACCCCTGTCCTGGTGGCTGCCCTTAGGGACCTGCTGCCAGGCAGCGCCCCCTCCAGTCATTCTGGAGCCAGGCTATTACTTCTAGCAAATCAGGCCAGTAGCCAAAGGAGAGTGGGAGCTACCCCAGGATCTCGAGTCTGAAACCAGCACCACTGGCGGCTCCTCGCTGTGGGAAGAGAAGCGTGGACCAGACACTGGCAGGCTCCCTGGAGGAAGCTGGGGCAAGGCTCTGAAGCCGGGGCATGGGCATCCTCACTCACCAGACGTGCAGGAGCATTCCCTGGGGTCCATGGTCCAGGTCTCTGGGAGGCTCCAGCGCTCTCTCTGCTGAAGGCAGGCCGAGTGAGCAGCCACCGGAGGCTGCCTATTTATAGCCGTGTAGCTGCAGGTGCAGGTTCACCCCACCTCTCCCTGGGGCCAGACGCCTTGCACTTGGCCCAGCCAGATACCACGGGCTGGGGGTTGGGGAGAGCAAGCAGAGGAAGGGCACAGGAGAGCAAGAGTAGTATAGTCATTGAAGTGGCTTTTCATGACAAGGTATGCAGGTGACTGTCCCCACCGACCTGCCCACCTGCTAAGGTGTCAGGGCTCCAGGACCAAGCTCTGTGGCACCTGCAGGGCTCCCATTGGCAGCTGCACCCATTGGGTCTCCCTGTCCTATGCATTCCACTACCTGCCACTTCTGTTCGCTCCCTCACAGGGGCTGCTCCCACCCTGGCTAAGGGTCTCATTCTCTCTCCCTGGGTTGGGCAAGAGGGGCCGATCCTAGGTTCTGGGCCGTGGAAGACCCCACGCAGGCCCTCTCCTGGATTTGGATCCCAGTCCTCATGGCTGAGAAGGTCCAAAGTCAGGGCCATGTGCAGCCTCTCCTTACAGGCCACACATGGAGAAGCCAGTATCCATCCCAAGCCCACTTGCTTCCAAGGGTTGGTTCGATCTTCCTCCCTAGGTCCCCAAGGGCACATGCACAGCCCATGTGTGTCCCTCTCAGCCTGAGGGGTGGCTGGGGGTGGCTCTTTGCGGGGGGTGGGCAGAGTCTGGAAGTGTGGGCTGGGTGCCCGCCGAGTGTGTGAGGCCTCTCGCAGTGAGGGAAGAAGCTAGGTGTGGGAAGAGAAGGGACATGGGTCACAGGTCGGGGACTAGGGCCACTGGGCAGATCTGGCACCTCTGTGTTCCAATGTGGGTACCTGAGAATCAGACATTTGAACTTGGCCATCTGGGTTGCCCTGAACTTCACTTTGTCAAGGTAACAGAATTGAACATATTCCATTTACTTGTTAATTTGACTTACAGCTTTTAAATCTTTTAGCCAAGTGATATGTGGACCCTGGTTGTACTCTTGTTCAGCCCCTCTAAACGTAAGGAGGGGCCCGGAATAGCTTCCTGTGGTCTTGCTCCCCGCTCTTCATTCTCTACCCTGGCCCAGAGATGATGTATCGCTAAAAGTAGCACAGCCCATGTTGCTCTCTTGGCCCAAACCTTCAGTGGCCCCCCACATCTGTTGAATGAAGCCCTACATCTTTTTTTTAAAAGTATATATTTATTGATTATGCTATTACAGTTTTCCCAATTTTCCTTTCTTTATTCCCCCTCTATCCTGCACCCCACAACCCTCCAACATTCCCCTCCCCCTTAGTTCATGTCCATGGGTTGCACGTATAAGTTCTTTGAGTTTTCTGCTTCCTATACCGTTTTTGACCTCTCCCCATCTATTTAATGCCTACTAATTATGCTTCTTCTTCTCTATACCTTCGCCCCCTATTCCTCCCTTCCCCTTCCCCACTGAAATCCCTCCATGTGATCTCCATTTCTCTGATTCTGTTCCTATTCTAGTTGTTTGCTTAGTTTTTGTTTTCATTGTTTTTCTTTATTTCTTTTTTTAAGGTTCATTTGTTGATAGTTGTGAGTTTTTTGTCACAAAATTAAAAACAAAGAATCTTAAAAGCAGCAAGAAGAAAGGAGAGAATTACCTGAAAAGGAGTTCCCATAAGACTGTGAGCTGATTTCTCAAAAGAAACCTTACAGGCAAGAAGGGGCTGGAAAGAAGTATTTGAAGTCATGAAAGGCAAGGACCTACATCCAGGAATACTCTGTCCGGCAAAGCTATCATTCAGAATGGAAGGGCAGATAATGTGCTTTCCAGGTAAGGTCAAGTTAAAGGAGTTCATCATCACCAAGCCATTAGTATAGGAAATATTAAAGGGACTTATCTAAGAAAAGGAAGATAAAAAATATGAACAGGAAAATGAAGCCCTACATTTTAACCTTGCCTTTCAAGTTCAAGTTACCTTTCCAAGCTCATCGCCCACTACTTCCTCCTACCTGTTCCACCAGAACCTGATTGCTCCAGGATCTCTGCAATCGCCTTGAACTTTCCCAGGCCTGTGCTCCTGGCAGGTGTTCATATTTTCCCTATCACCTTCAGTTCAAATAAATCCTCCCCGTTCACCGAGGCATGTGCTTCAACTCCATCTCTTGGGTAGTGAAAGCAAGAGGAAATTTGGGGGAGATTCAACCAGCTGCCAGTCTCTACCATAACCCCATTCATTGACCTAGGCAGCTGACTTCAGTCTTATGCAAAGTGCATGCCAGATGAGCTTCAAGCTTCCCCCACCAGCTGCCATCCGCACCCTCTCTCCATGCAGAAATTCTGGAGCTGCTGCTGACCCTGCTTCCTCCAGGAAGCTGCCTCTGATTTCTCCCTCTCTTGGCTGGGAGAGATCTCTCCCTCTGTGGCCCCTCAGAGATGTGTCTGTACGTTTCTCATGGCATTTACTACCTTCTGTTCTGCTCTGTGTGATTGTGTATGTTCATGACTTTTGTGTCCCTCACCCCAACCTGGGAGCTGTCAGGAGCGAGACCAGTGTCTGAAGCATTGCTATGTCCACACAATGTTCTTTGCAATGTCTAGAGAATGTTGAATGGATGAATGAACCAATGAATCAGTCAATGAATCAGCCAGATGGGTAGGTGAATGACTGAAGATATGAATGAGAGAGGGGGCACACAGGTGAACAAATGAATGAGTGAGTGAATGGTGAGTGGCAAATGCATGACTACTTTCCCACATGTGAATACCGAGGACCTTTGCTGAAAAATGCTGTCACCATTCACAGAGGCCTGCCATAACCTGTGGAGATAATCCCTCCCCATTTGTATGTTACCAGGGTCTCCATCACTTACTCCTAAGGACCACCAGGGCCTCAGGCTGACCCATGGAACTGCGGATCTGAGCTGAGAGTGTCTAGTGTGGAGGAAGGGATCGCAGGGCACTGGGGAGGACTAAGTAGGGCAATATTGTCGTGATCCCACAGTGGTCCCTGCCAGAAGGGAGTTCACAGTCTAGTAGGGGACCCGGCCACATTCATTCATTCAACAATGTTCAGGGCCAGCACTGTGCTGAGCACTTGGGAGCTGAGGGTGAATAAAAATAGGGCTCGTGGTTCACAAGGTCAGGAGGACGTCTCAGCTCAGGAAACCCATGGCTGGGCTGGGCTGGGCTGCCCTCGGAGTCCAGAGGCTGGAACCACCTTCCTGGGCCTGTATTCCCAGCCGGGGACCAGCCCTGTCTCTTGGCAGGTCAGCTTCCCCCTGCAGCGTGGGTGTGCCGCGTCATCAATAATAATGCCTTGGAAGGTCTGGCCTGAACCAGTGAGTCTAGGGAGAGAGAGGACTTTTCCTTTACCCTCGTCGAAGCTGCCTCTCCTCCCCCTTCCCAACCTGTAACTAACCTACCTGTGAATTCACTGCCTGTGAGTTACCTTCCCCAATCCCTGCCCAGGAATTGTTTTTTTCCTTTGGACAACTGATGCTCTGATGTTGCTTAATGCCCGGACGGAATGATAGCAAGACCCAATTCCCTAGCGTGAAGATATCGCCCAGTTTCGGGGTTGTGCAGGTTGAAACAGTGGTGCACAGAGTAATCGGGTCCACGCTGAACTGCGCCCCGGGCTGACCAGTCGCTTTTACACAGCCCTTTCCCGCATCCGCAGGCCCCTTCCCACTTTGGCGCATCTTCTCCGTCCCAGCTCCTTATTTCTGCATGGAAAACAAGAGCACACATGCCACTCTAAGCACATGTAATGGCAGGCAGGCACCGCTCACATCCGCACTGAGAGAATAGCTATTTCTTCAGAGACGTGATCCTTAGCCTTCTGGGAGGATTCCAGGAGCCCTTTAAAATCCGATGGAAACTCTAAACCCTTGACCCAGAAGGCAAATGCACAAATACGCAATACTTTTCCACACGTTCGAGGATTTAGTGGCTCTCCTAAAGGGTGTTGGTGGCCCCCACCCCGGGGTCCCGAGTTAAGGGTCCTTCCAGGTAGAAGCAATCTTTCTGCAACAGGTCTTCTGTGGTTATGGTGCTGATAATGTGGCTTTTTCGAGCCACTGAGCCCTAAATAGTTCCTTCCCAGCTGTGGCCTCTCCTTCGGGCATAAGTCAGGCGGTTTTCGGGGCGCAGTGGAACAGGTTGTTCTGAGGAAGCAGTGAACACGCCACTGCTTACAAAACACAAAGTGCCAGCCTTTGCATCTTCTCCCCTTCTTGTAAAAGCTCCACGCGTGCGATGCCCACGCCCAGCACTTTCTGCCAGGAAGGAGTTTCTGGGACTCACGGCCTCGGGATGAAGGTGCAGCCATGTGGTGATGGCCGAGACCGGTCCCCCACCGTGACTCCACACCCGGGTCCCTGCTTTGCTCTTGGGATCGCCATCCTTTCCCTTGAAACCTTCGTGGCTCCCTGGGAGCAGCCTGGGGCCGTTGGCTTTATTGTGCTGGTTTGTGAACTGATCTCTCTCTCTAGACCTCAGAGGTCTCAAGAACAGAGGCTGTGCTCACTCATCTCAGCAGCCCCAGGGCCAGGTGCACCAAGTGCCGCCGCAAGGTGGGCACTGGAGAAACGTTCGTGGGCTGGTGATGAATAAGTGGCTCAGCCGACAGTGGCTCAGCGGACAGCTCACTCATCCTGTCTCCTGTGGCTCTTGTTGAACAGATTTAGAGAATCTTGTCGCTCACTGTGGGCGCTCGAGAGCTTGAGATCTGGAGTTGCGAGGCCTGGGTTTGAATCCAGCTCTGCTCCTTCTTTGCCACTTGACTTGGGGCCAGTTGTTGACCCCTCTGAGCCTCGGTTTACTTATCTGAATAATGAAAATGACAATCCTACAGCACTGTCGTTATCGGGGTTAAAGGAGAGAAAGCATACTGAGCGCTTAGTTCGGAATCTGGCACATAATTATTATTATTGTTATTGCTATTAATATTATTATTATTACCTGTGCCTATTACAACTTGTCAGGCTGGTTCAGCCCCAACCCGTCTGTGTGTTTCGGGCTCGCAGACCGGTCCTGGGGTCCTGGGCAGGATGCGTGCATCAGCAGTAAATGTTGGAAAGAATTTTAATCTCTGGGTTCCCTGCTTTTAAGCTCAACCTAATATTTTTGGGGTCGCAGGTT